CACAACAAACAAAAACTACACCACCACATAAAAACACAAACCCACACCACACCAAAAAAACTCATACAACACCACACACACTCATACTCCACCCCTACACACCTCACACTCATACACACACACACTATACTCACCACAACACAACACACACACACCCCCCCACACCACACACACCACACACCACACACACCATGACACAGTGGTAATGCTTTTTTTAAACTGCAAAGTCAGGGTATTTCCCAAATGGTTTTAATATCCCTTGGATAAATACTTAGCTTTCTTGAACACTTCTGAGTGAGTTGTTTCTAAATTCATTAATTTTATCGCACCCCAGTACATAATGACGCGGGGTGTGAAAATTTAATCCATCTGGCAAAGTTTACATTTCGTTTGGTCTACATCTGGTGGTGGTGATTTAACCTGCCAAAGATACTTGTAACCCACCCGGGAGCCGGCGGTAGTGACACCCAAAGAGTCTGCTTATTTGTTGGGATGCCCATAGACATGTGGCTCCTCCTGCATGATAAAATGATGATAGAGGGACTCACTGGTGTCAATCTCCCTGAGCCTTAAGTCCATAAAATTCCCACTGAAGTTCTTTTCGTATTATTGTTCTCAAACTACTACCTGACAAGCCAAGATTGTAATCTACTCCCTCTTTGAAAGCATACAGCTTAGCCAATTTATCAGTTCTATCATGCATCCTGAAGACCAATGTGAGATGGAATCCACAGCATGTGCACTCTGACTCCACTGTCCACAATCCTACCATACCTGTGTCTGGGTTCTGACACAAGCATGCCACAAAATTTATGCTTAATGAGTTGAGAGCATTTATGGATGACAGAAATCAGTTACAATTAAACTGTCAATCTTTGATACATAGATGCATTCAGTGCAAGGGTATGGCAAACATTTTTGTCTGAAGGGTAGGGGGCCCAAATTATTGATGCGTGCTCCAATTTCTTTAAGAGAGCCATCACTCTGTACGACAACAGCAGCACTACCAGCTGCACCAGTGGATTGGTGAACAGAACCATCAACGTAAATAATTTGCGAGAGTGTGTGCTGTGTGACTAAGTTATCAATACAGCTTAAGGCCTCATGTTTGGCTTCAAGGCGAAGTTTTGGTTGTGATTTAAGAAGTAGTTTGGGGGGAAATGGAGGAATGGTAGTTTGGAATGGGGTAATATTCCATGGAGCGGAGAAGTGCCGCTGTTGCGATATACTAGGGGAGAGGTAAAATTAATTATTTTCATACAAGAAATCACTCTCCTCCCTTTCTATAGCCTTATTCATGAGGTACATTTTGGTTCCCTTCTTGAATTGGCTCATGCTATGACAGGCTAGGACATGTGCAAGCAGTCTATTCCACTATTTTATTGCAGCACAGAAAAATGTCCTTGAAACCTGACCACTGACTCTAGGTATTGCAGGGTTGTTCTCCCTTCCCCTAGTTCTGAAATCGCATTGGTTCCCTGCCTTAACAAAATTGGCAGTAAGATATAAGAACATAAGAAAGAAGGAACACTGCAGCAGGCCTACTGGCCCATGCGAGGCAGGTCCAAGTCTCCTACCGGCTTAAGCCAATGCACCCAACCTAGTCGGGTCAGGTCACATTCACTTAAGGAGGGAACACGGCAACTGACCTAGTAGCACAAGCTAATCAGGTCCAACTCACACCCACCCACACCCACTCATGTATTTATCTAACTTATTTTTAAAACTACACAACGTTTTAGCCTCTATAACTGTACTCGGGAGTTTGTTCCACTCATCCACAACTCTATTACCAAACCAGTGCTTTCCTATATCATTCCTGAATCTGAATTTTTCCAACTTAAAACCATTGCTACGAGTCCTGTCTAGGCTAGATATTTTCAGCACGTCATTTACATCCCCTTTATTTATTCCTGTCTTCCATTTATACACCTCAATCATATCCCCCCTAATTCTACGCCTTTCTAGAGAGTGCAGATTCAGGGCCCTCAGTCTATCCTCACAGGGAAGATTTCTGATACATGGGATCAACTTTGGCATCCTCCTTTGTATGTTTACCAGAGCATTTATATCCATTCTGTAATATGGTGACCAAAACTATGCAGCATAATCTAAATGAGGCCTAACCAAGGATATATAGAGTTGAAGAACAACCTGAGGACCCCTATTATTTATGCTTCTTGATGTGAAGCCAAGGATTCTGTTAGCTTTATTGCGAACACTTATGCACTGTTGTCTTGGTTTCAGATTACTGCTAACCAGAACTCCTAAATCTTTTTCGCAAACCGTAATATTAAGAGCTACCAGGCCCGGTGGCCTGGTGGCTAAAGCTCCCGCTTCACACACGGAGGGCCCGGGTTCGATCCCGGCGGGTGGAGACATTCGACACGTTTCCTTACACCTGTTGTCCTGTTCACCTAGCAGCAAATAGGTACCTGGGTGTTAGTTGACTGGTGTGGGTCGCATCCTGGGGGACAAGATTAAGGACCCCAATGGAAATAAGTTAGACAGTCCTCGATGACGCACTGACTTTCTTGGGTTATCCTGGGTGGCTAACCCTCCGGGGTTAAAAATCCGAACGAAATCTTATCTTATCTTATCTTATGTTTGGCATGGTTATTTTCCTGTCCAACATTTAGAACTTTGCATTTGTCTATGTTAAACTGCATCTGCCACTTCTCCGACCACTGCATCAGTCTATTTAAATCTTCCTGGAGTGATCTAATGTCCTCGTCAGAATGAATTCGACGGCCTATTTAGGTGTCATCGGCAAACTTACTTATGTTGCTCTTCATGTCCTCATCAGTGTCGTTTATGTAGATTGTGAACAGCAGGGTGCCCAACACTGACCCCTGTGGAACACCGCTCGTGACGCTTCCCCACTCTGATTTCTCCCCATTTATGCAAACTCTCTGCTGCCTATTTGTCAACCATGCCTCTATCCAGGAAAAAATTTCTCCTATTCCATGTGCCTTAATTTTCCTCAATAGTCTCTGATGTGGGACCCTTTCAAAAGCCTTACTGAAGTCCGTTTACACAATATCATATTCATTACCATGATCTACCTCCTCAAATACCTTAGTGAAAAAAGTTAATGAATTCGTAAGGCAGGAACGCCCCTTTGTAAAACGATGCTGAGATTCGTTGATTAATTTATGCTTTTAATTTTCCACTGGTAATATTGTTCATTCCTTTCCTCTTGAAAGCGCAAATAACTACTACAAAACATCCAGACATGAAAATGCTCATCACCTATTCCTACAGTCTTCACATAATGTCAATGTATTGTATTTTATTGATTAAAGCCACTGGATGGCAAAATTTCTAAAAATTAAAGATACCCAGATGTTGCACTTGTCTAATTCTTCATTTATTTTCAGCCGAGAGCTAGTGCTCAGCCCAGCTTAGTATAAGAAAGGAAATGCGACAATAGAGTGGCAATTTCCATGTGGGGGACACTGGTTGTGAGCAAGCAATTTTATAAACGCAATTTAGCTTTAGTTGATTTACTCTGTCTTCAACATTCAGTATGTCCAGTTGTTGTAATTCATTCTGTCCTACATGCTCTCTTGGCCCCAGGTCCAGAATGATTCTTACCATTTTGTTCTGGGTTATTTGTACCCTATCTTTCAGTTTTTTTTTTTTTTTTTTTTGGTTAAGGCAGAGTACCATGAAGAGCAAGAGTAGTTTATAATACTTTGTATGAGAGCTAGATATAGGGTCCTGTGAGCCTCAGTAGGTAGACATTGCGCCTGTCTGTAGAGGAACTTTAGTCTGGTATTCGCTTTTCTTACAACACTGTTCCGTATTAGTTCTCTTGACATGCTTGGGTCGAAGGGAGATTCCCAGATATTTCACCGAATTTACTGTAATAAAAAGTTCCCATTATACTGGACATTAAAATTATTTACCCTTTTCAATTTATGTTTCGTGCCAAAGAGTATGGCTTCCGTTTTCCCAAGGTATAGTGATAATTTGTTGTCTACCAAACCAAACCATTTGCTACAGACTCTTTTTCTAGTGATAGTACATTAGCAATGTCTTGTGGGTCTTTACCAGATAATAACAGAGCACTATCATCTGCGTACAGTAGAAACTTGCATTTGACCCTGATAGGCATGTTATTCACATAGCACAGGAATAGCAAGGGCCCAAGATACTACCCCACATGTTATCGTTGATGATGATTAATAATAATAATAATAAGAAGAAGAAGAATTTCTACAAGGTATACAGGCCTAGCTGACATCAGTAACACTACTATATAGAAAGCCCCTCTTTATGCAGAACATTTGAAAATGAAAATGTTTATTTCCTTGCAAAGCTTGCAATGTGTGGTTTACATATTATAAAATATTAATTACAAGGAAGGCCTCTAGCATGCCTAGGCATTTCGGGCAAATTAGGTCAGTTTTGTCCCAGGATGCAACCCACACCAGTCGATTAACACCCAGGTACCTATTATAATGTTAGGTGAACATGGACACCAGATGTCTTAATGAAACACGTCCTAATGTTTCCACCCGTACCCTAGATAGACCCCTTAACGTCAGTGTGTGAGCAGAGTGCGCCAGCAATCGAGCTACCGGAACAGAAGTCTCAATTAATAGAATAGGTGGTTTATTTAGGTACAGGTACACATAAATAAAATTATTAAACATAGTAACATGTGTGTAAATTACTTAGGATAGCCCAAATAAGTCAGACAGCGTGAAATTAGAAGTTTCCCAGTAAACCAAGTGGAACTCCCTTGTCAAACTCCAGCAAAGCGGGACGCCCACATTCTCACATGAGTTCAGCAACCGGCTTCCCACTAAAACCGTTACAGGATTGTCCGCATAGTTGAACAGTAAGTAAGTTTATTAAGGTATACACAAATACAGTTACATAGAATTATCATACATAGCAGCATATGTGTAGAGAACCTAGGATAACCCAAAAACGTCAGACAGAGTGACTTATTTCCATTGGGGTCCTTTTACCTTATTATTATAGCATAAATGGTTATGAAAGGTGAAACGATGAAATGTGCTCTATTTGTAACGTGGCTGGCGGGCAAAGTAGACGAGCACGCGCGTCTTAAAGACAACGGGGCATATTTGTCACTGATGCTCAGGCTAGAGCGAGAGGTCCAAAGTACTATTTTAAGGCTGGCGAAAAAGTCCATGTATTGCTTCGAATGTCAACTACTCTGGATATTGTTGAATTAGACACATGTGCAACTCTTGGGTATCTTTATTGAGGAAACGTTCCGCCACACAGTGGCTTCATCAGTCCATACAAAGGAGAAACTTGAAGAACAGGAGGAGAATGAGGTAGTCAGTCCCTCAGCCTTGAGTCGATGTGGTCAGTCCAATCTTGAATAGAGTACGGCATATGAGCGGAGAAGCAGCTAATAAACCGTAGACAGGTGAGGGGCAGCATGTGTCTAATTCAACAACATGTCGGTTCTCTGAACCATTCATCTACACTCTGGATATACGTATATGAAAGGTGTTCCGAGGGTCACTGCCCCCGCGACCCACTCAGTAAGTCCATCTATCATCATTCCATCATGCAGGAGGAGCCACATGTCTATGGTGCATCCAACAAGATAAGCGAACTCTTGGATGTCACTACTGCCCGGCTCCGGCTGGGTTACAAGTATCTATGGCAGGTTAAATCACCACCACCAGATATAGACCAAACGAAATGTAAACTTCACCAGATGAACTATTGTCGCACCTTGCGTCATTATGTACTGGAGTGCGATCAAATTAATGAATTTAGAGACAACTCACTCAGAAAAGTTCAAGTGTGTGTGTGTGTGTGTGTGTGTGTGTGTGTGTGTGTGTGTGTGTGTGTGTGTGTGTGTGTGTGTGTGTGTGTGTGTGTGTGTGTGTGTGTGTGTGAATTCATTACCAGAAAATACTGAAGTAACCCGGTCTGAACATCAGTTTAAGACTTCTCAGAAACCATCTGCTCACCCTATACTAAATACTCAGTACTTAAATCAATCAATCAATTTTTATTTCCTTGCAAGATTACATTGAAATTATGAAATTACAAAAATGAGTTGCAGTGCAAAGAGAGTCACTATCATGCCTAGGCATTATGGGCAGACTTAATTTAATGTCTTACAGATTACTTAATACTAAAGAAATTGAACATAGTTTGTTTAAGTTGTACATTTTGTTTATTTATAGTAGACAGTAATTTTACTCAAATTACAATAGTTTCAATAGTAAATATTGAAATTATTTTATGGGAATATAACATTGTGAGTTGTTGAAACTGGTTTACAGTATGAGAATGCTACAATTGAGTATGTATTTATACTACAAGGTAGCTTTAATCAATATATGTACTTTGGGCGTCACGTTTTGTAGTTTTAAGATTTAGGTAATTGGGAGATTTTTTGGTAAAGTTAAATATTGAATATTTAGTTTAGGCTGAGTAAGTGATTTTTGAGAAAAGTCTTAAATTGATGTTCAGACCGGGTTGCTTTAGTATTTACTGGTAATGAATTCCAAATTTTGGGGCCCTTTATGTGCATAGAGTTTTTACAGTGTGATATGGACACGGGGTACATCAAAAAGAGAGATGTGTCTTGTGTTATGGTCGTGTGACCTGTTGAAGTTGGTGAGGAGAAGTTTGAGTGAAGGGCTTATGTTTGAATGAAGTGTTCTATGTATGTAGTAGGCACATGAGTAAGTATGGATGTTCTTTACGGTGAGCAGTTTTAGACTTTTGAATATTGGTGTAGTATGCTGTCGGGAATGGGAATCTGTTACCATTCTGACTGTAGCCTTTTTCTGGGTTATTAGTGGCCGTAGGTGATTCAATGTTGTTGAGCCCCATGTACAAATCCCATATGTGAGATAAAGGTAGATAAGTGAATGATACAGTGCAAGAAGAGCTGATTGTGGAACATAGTACCGTATCTTTGATAGTATGCCTACTGTCTTAGAGATTTTCTTGGAAATTTGTTGTATATGTGTCTGGAATTTGAGGCTACTGTCAAGGTGGATTCCTAGGAATTTTCCCTCTGTGAGTCTTGTGATGGGTAATCCGTTTAGCATTATGGAACATTTGCAGTGGGGCATTTGCAGCTCTGTTTCCAAACTGAATGAAATAGGTTTTGTCAGTATTGAGGGTAAGCTTATTAGTCATTATCCAGGTAGATATTTTCTGCAATTCGGCATTAACAGTGTTGGCCAGTATGACTGGGTTTGGGTGAGAGAAGACGTATGTAGAGTCATCTGCAAATAATATGGGTTTGAGTAGTTGTGATGCATTCGGTATGTCATTGATGTAAATGAGAAAGAGGAGTGGGCCAAGGACACTTCCTTGTGGAACACCGACTGTGATTGGTTAAGTGGAAGAGTTTGCTCCATTTGTGTACCCATATTTGCTTCTGTTACTAAGGTATGACTTTAGGTAGTTGAGGGAGTGCCCTCTTATACCATAGTGTGTTAATTTAATGTGCAGAAAATCATGGCCGACAGTATCAAAAACTTGACGTAAATCAATGAAGATTCCCAGTGGGACTTCTTTCTTTTCGAGAGCAGTGTATATTAGCTCTAGCATGTGTATAATAGCATCATTTGTGCTTTTATTATTCCTGAATCCAAACGGACAGGGGTTTAGTATGTTGTGTGAGACAAGGCAGGAATAGATCTGTCTATGAATTAATTTTTCATAGATTTTAGAGATCGGAGGTAAGTTAGAAATTGGTCTATAGTTATTTAAGTCCGCTTGATCACCTCCTTTGTGGATCGGGGTGACCCTCGCCATTTTCAGAATTACTGGGAAGGTGGTGGATTCGATGGATTTGTTAGTGTTGCAGTTATTGGTGACAGTACTTGTGGAGCTTTTTTGTACGTAAAAGGTGGTAAGTTATTTATGTCTCCTGTCTTGTTTTTAAGGGTGTTGATGATGAGCGAGACTTCATTTGGGTTGGTTGGGGCTAGGAATAGTGTATTCGGGTAAGTGCCCGTGAGGTAGTCTGATGAACGGGAGTTTGACATTGGGATTTTGCTCGCTAGATTCTTTCCTATGGTGGAGACGAAAACATTGAGTCTGTTTGCTGTTTCAGTTGGTGAGAGTAGGGGTTCGTCTGATTTTGTTAATTTGATTGTTTTGTTTTTGGACATCTTTTTAGTTCCTAGAATTTCGGATAGGGTTTTCCAGGTAATTTTCACGTCACCTTTTATGTTATGTAATCTGTTTTCATAATACAGTTTTTTTACCTAAATTTTTTTGACTTAAATTTGCCAAAAGATCTCCCAATTACCTAAATCTTAACACTTCAAAATTTAGATACCCAAAGTTCATAATAACTTAATACTACATTGTAGTATAACTACCTGAATAAACTTACTTAATTACTTACTTACTTATTTACTTACTTACCTGCCCAAAACTATACTGCCTTACACCAAATTGTAGCATTCTCATACTGTAAACTACTTTCATCAACGTTCAATATTATATTCCAACAATATAATTTAAATATTTACCATTGATATACACTACCTACAAAATACTTTCAACTTGTACCAATGTAATAACCCCAGATTGTAATTTGAGTAAACTTACTGTCTTCTATAAATAAAAACAGATGTACAACTTAAACAAATTTCTCTAGTAAGTAAGTAAGTTTATTCAGGTATACACAAATACAGTTACATAGAATTATCATACATAGCAGCATATGTGTAGAGAACCTAGGATAACCCAAAAAAGTCAGACAGAGTGACTTATTTCCATTGGGGTCCTTTTACCTTATTATTATAATATAAAGGTTATAATATTTTCTTATTATTCTACAATGAAGATAACATCTTATTATCATACTAAAAAGACTATCTACTACACGAGGGTCATTAAGACTATCTACAATACGAGGGTCATTACTAGGAATATGGTAAAATTTACACGTATGTTAGCTAAAAAATAGAAATTCATTCCCCTCCCTTTCTGTAGCTACATTCATCAGACACCTTTTGGCACTCTTCTTGAACTGGTTCATGCTATGACTGGCTTTGACATGTGCGGGCAGTCTGTGTGCGTCCTTGTGTGTATGCATATATTTGTACGCTCGTGTGCACATGTCCGTGCGTGCGCCCTCGTGTGTGTATGTGCGCGCGCGCACTAGTGTGGGTGTATGATCCACTTAATATTTGTATTTATAACTCATTACAATTGTGACCAGGTGTGGACGTATCAGTGGTTCATTACTTTGTAATTTGTTCATGACTGTAACCATGTATAGGAGTGAAGCTGATTCATTACCTCTGTAACTTGCCATGATTAGTGACCAGATCTACCTGGAGTTCATTACCTTTGTAACTAGTTCAGCTATCATAACTTTGGGGTCCAGTCACTGGACCCATTATGTACCTTTGTAATCTTTTGACTACCGCCCCACAGGATGGGTATGGGGTGCATAAAGATATTAAACTAAAGTGTGTGTGTGTGTGTGTGTGTTGTGTGTGTGTGTGTGTGTGTGTGTGTGTGTGTTGTGTGTGTGTGTGTGTGTGTGTGTGTGGGTGTGTGTGACTCAACAATCAATATTTGCACCAATAACTCATTACAGTTGTGACCGGGTGTGGAAGTGTGAATTGCTCATTACTCTATAATTTGTTCATGATTGTAGCCATGTATAAACGTAAGTAACCATTCTACAGAATTCATTACCTTTGTAACTTGTGAGCTCATTACCTTTGTACCTAGTTCAGCTATCAAAACTTTGGGGGCCCAGTCCCTGGACCCATTACGTACCTCTGTAATCTGTAAATACCTTTGTAACTTGTCATGATTGTGACCAGACTTACCTGGAGTTCATTACCTTTGTAAATTGTGAGTTCATTACCTTTGTAAATTGTGAGTTCATTACCTTTGTAAATTGTGAGTTCATTACCTCTGTAACTTGCTCAGCTATCAAAACTTTGGAGTCCAGTCCCTAGACCAATTATGTACCTCTGTAATCTTTTGACTACCGCCCACAGGATGGGTATGGGGTGCATAATAAACATATTAAACTAAACTAAACCTTTATTGCTGTACAATAAAAGGTGTTTGAAGCCTGTCCAATGACTACAAAGTTGTGCTCTCTCCCCCTAGTACTATTTATTTATTTATTTATTTATTTA